GCCGGGAGCCGGGAGCCCCGCCCCGCCCCGCGCCAGCTCGTCACGGGGCGACACCGGGGAGAGGACGGGGCGGGGACCCCAGTAGGCCCGCGCGGGCGCAGGCCCCGCGCCCGGGTCACGAGGAGCCGCGGGACGCTGTCAGGCCCGCACCCGCTCCCGCCCGCCGCGCCTCTGCTCTCCTCTCCTCTCCGCGGGCCGTTCCAGGCCCGGCGGCGCTGCTGGCCCTCGGCTGTTTGGAGCGGGCGAGGCCTGCGCCCACCTTCCCCCCTGTCAGGTTCCCAGGCTGCCTGTCCAGACAGCTCGGGGCCAGCGCCCAGCCCGAAGCGCAGGTGGGGACTGAGGCCGCGCAGGTGGGGACTGAGGCCCCGCAGCCCTTGAAGTCCCGGAGTCCAAGGTGTGGATTGCTGAGCCCCACGGCTCTGCTGCTGCCCGCCCCGTGGGTGTTGCTGGACGTCTACCTAGCTGCTGGCGTAGGCCTGTGGTGTCCAGGGGTCCCGAGTGTCCCTTTTTAGACAGGGCAGGACTGCAAAGTGGTTGCTGGAGACAAAGTTGAAGGTCAAGGTTATTTTTAAACATGTTAAAGAGCCAGGTGTGTTGGCACACTTCTGTCATCCAGCACTCTGGGAGGCTGAGGCAGGAAGATTACCAGTTTGAGCCCAGCCTGGGCAGCTTGGTGACCTAGCAAGACCTCTTGAAAATAAATTTTACGTCTAGGTTTGTAGCTCAATGAGAAGGTCCTGGGATCAATCCCCAGTACTGCAGATAAGTTAAAGGCATGATAAGGATTTTTTTCTCAGGCAGCCAGGTTGGGCAGCAGGCTTCTCCCGAAGCATGGTGTTTTTAACCAGTGTGGCTGGTTTCTGCCTGGTAACCTGTGTGTAGCTGCCTGTGGAGAGTCCCCATCCCTCCTGCACCACCAGCAGAGTGGTTTCTGTCCCCTGTGTGCTGTATGGCTCTCCCATGCTCTTGTCCTTGCTCTTCCAGCTGATTCTGTAAAGGCTTCCAGAGCCAGGACGGAGACACCAGCTCCGAAGCTTCGGGACGGTGGCTTGCTCGGCACATCTGCTTGTCTCAGGTCTCCCGAGGCCCTGGGCCCCGAAGGTACCGCTGAGCCTCAGCCGCCTCTCTCCCTGCACGTGGGGGTCCACTACCCTGATTCCCCGCGGAGACCACCCCGGTCCAGGGGAGGCTGCACTAGTGACCCTGGGGGAGGGCAGGTCGGCTGTCCCTGTCCCCACATGAGAGGCCGGCCACACCGAACTCCTGGCCTGTCCCCCGCCTCTCACAGGGCTGTTGCCCTGTCACCACCCCGCAAGCACCTGCAGGAGCGCACAGTGTTGAAGCCAGCGATTTCTGTTTGGAAATAGGGTCGTCTCCTGCCGCTGACCCCCATCAAACCCCATCATGCCCACAGCCCTGTGCCCCCGCGTGCTGGCCCCCCAGGAGAGCGAGGAGCCCCGGAAGATGAGGAGCCCCCCTGGAGAGAAGGCTGGCCCACAGGGAGAGCCCCCCAGTCCGGAGTCCTCCCGCCGCCTGTTCCGCCGCTTCCGCTACCAGGAGGCGGCGGGGCCGAGAGAGGCACTGCGCCGGCTGTGGGACCTGTGCCGCGGGTGGCTGCGGCTGGAGCGCCACACCAAGGAGCAGATCCTGGAGCTGCTGGTGCTGGAGCAGTTCCTGGCCATCCTGCCACGGGAGGTGCAGGCCTGGGTGCGCGCCCAGGAGCCTGAGAGTGGCGAGCAGGCCGTGGCCGCTGTCGAGGCGCTGGAGCGGGAGCCCGGGAGGCCATGGCAGTGGGTGAGAGGGGACAGAGAGGCAGGCCGGGAAGGGACAGCTGCCCCTCCCCCGCCGAGAGCGAAGGCCTGCGCCCGAGCCACCTGGCCCTGATCGTGTTCTGCCCAGGCTTTGCTTTCTCAGGAAAGCAGGTTCCACGCCCTGAAAGCTGTAATTCGGGTGTGACGTGGGGTCCCTTGGGTAGCCCTTTCCAGAGCCCAGGAGGAGCCGGTGGTCCACAGGCCTGGCCCTGGCTGGGCCCCAGGTAGCCTGACCCGGTCTCTCCATGGGGCTGCAGCGCAAGCACTGTGAGGACCCCGTGGTGATTGACGACGGGGACGGCCCTCCCGACCTGGGCCAGGAGCAGGACCGGCTGCCCTTGGGTGTCCTGAGCGACCCTGCGAAGAGCCAGGAGGCCCAGCCCACGGCCCTGGCACCCAGCCTGGGCCAACTCAGCCGACCTCCCGGGCAGCTCTCGGAGGGCCCAGGTAGGGCAGCCCAGGGCCACAGCGCGGGAGGGACGTGCCGTGCAGCACCCCTGTGGGCTGGGCGGGTCTGAGATTTGCTGATGGCTGCATTAGCATCTCCTGTGCTGAGGACCCGGGTTTGTGTCCAGACTCTCCCCTTGGTGTCTGTGTTCTCCCTCAGAAGGTCCCCTAGAGGGGAACTGGGGGTAGGCGGGGGTCTGGCCTGCACCTCCAGGTCCTGCCAGGGCCCAGGTCTGCGCAGAGCCTGAGCAGCCCCTGCTTCCCAGATCTGCGGACCCCCAGTGCTCAGAGGGCCGTGGGGTCCTTGCCAGGAGGACCAGGATAGGGTTTGAATATTCACGCAAAGTGCCCCAGGCCACTGGCTTTGTCACGGTTCAGCGGTTTAGCCTGACCGTGCTTCTGGTAGGGATGACTCAGGGCTGGCTTTTCAACTCTAAACCAGCTTGGCCTATGGCCTGGAATCTCAGCTACTTGGGAGACTGAGGCAGGAGGGTCACGAGTTTGAGATCCTGGTTCCGTAAGTGAGAAAATGAGCTCTCAGCCTGGGTTTCTTCCTGTCCAAAGGAGGCAGAAGCTACCCCTTTCGGATCTTTCAAGAACTTGTGAACTGTCGAGCACCGGCCTGAGCCACCCATTAGAGCTAAAGTGCCCGCGGCCCCCCTTGGTATCCAGGGGGTTGGTTCACCCAGAGTCATCACTCAGGTGTGGCAAGGGTCAAATGTTTGCGTATGAGGCTTGACGCCTTCCTGCGTGTCAGTCAGCTCGGGTTACTTGTGCTGCCCGCTGCAGCCTGGGGCTATGGAGAGGGGCGGCAAGCTTTTTGGGGTCCACGGGCAGGAACAGAAGCCTGTGCAAGTCAAGTGCAGGTGCAGCTCTGTGGTTGTGGTTGTGATTGTTGTGTGTCCCCCCAGCCCCCGCCTGTGTCCGGGCAGGCAGGCTGCACAAGGCCATGTAAGGACCTGATTTAACTTCACGAGTGGAAAGACCTCGAGTGCAGCCACCTGCTGCAGCTCCTGGGTCAGGACTTAGCCTTGGGGCTTGGGGTCCATGGTGAGGGCGTAAGGGACACAGCCATTCACCCAAGCAGACAGGGCAGTGGGGCTGGGTGGCACGGGAAGCTGGTGCGGGGGGAGGCCCTGCTGTAGGTGGAAGAGGACTTTGGGGACCCCGAGGCCTAGCACTGAGGGCTCGGGTCAGCCATCCAGTTTGTGTGAGCAGGGGCGTCCACACATGGGGCAGGGGTCTGTTACGGGTCGAGCCACCTGCAGTCAGATGCAGCGTTCCCACCCTGACGATCGCCCCAAAGCTGCGCCATGACACGACACTCACCCAGCATTCACTCCTGGGGCCGGGCTCCAGGTTCCGCTAGGTGGTGAGCACTTCTGAGCACTTCACCCTGCTGAGCAGACCAGCCATGTGCGGTGGCCCCGTGCTGATTAGCTGGACTCAGTCGCCTCAGCACACTGTACACAGCGCACAGAGCCACATGCAGTCGTGCGCACTATATGCATATATGTGAATTTCTCCGAGGGTGCTGGGTGGGGCTCGAAGTTGAGGCCTCGTGCACACCAGCTAGCCGGGCGCTCTGCCGCCCAGCAACACATCCAACCCTTAGCTTCATCTGAAGTCGACGCGTGTGTGATGTGCAGTGCAGTTTGATGCTTTGCCAAACACTGAGCGAATCTAGCTTAACGTGATTCATTCATGCACTTCCCGCGCTCTGTGGCAAAGACAGTCTGCTCTCGGCAGTGCCAGTGCCCAGTGTGTTGTTAGTCAGCCATGTGCCACACGAAGACCTCGGAGTCGATCCTGCTGTCTCACCCAAGCCGCCCCTCCTTGGCCTCTGGCAGCTGTCTTTCCACCTTCTGCTCCTCACTGCACTCCTTAGATCCCACTCGGAGCAAGGTCCTGGAGTGTTTGTCTCTCTGTGCCTTTGCAGTGTCCTCCGAAATAGCAGGACCCAGCTTGCTGCAGGCTGAGTGCTATTGCACCCTGTGTGTGTAGCATGTTTTCTTCCTTCATCCACGGATGCACACGTAGGCTGGCTGTTGGGTGTGAATAGTGCCGCAGTCCATGTGAGCATGGCCTCCGTCATGTGTGCAGGTCGTGAGAGGCTCTGCCGGCCCTCACTGCTGCGCGTTGAGGAACCTCCATGCTGGGTTCCAGACGTGCAGAGAGTTCCTGTTCCCGATTCAGGACAGGCTCGCCGTCTGCCCTCACCTACCCCTGGGCTGGACGACAGTCTTCCTCAGGGAACCTGCACTTCCCAAGCTTCCACACCAGCTTCTATTTGGAAATATCTAACACCAACCCCACATTGACTCCCCCTGCCAGCAGCTTTACCTTTGTGCTCTTCTTTCTTTCTGTTGTTTGTTGTTTTTTGAGACAGGGTCTCACTGTGTAGTTGAGGCTGGCCTTGATCTCGTGGTGATCCTTCTGCCTCAGCCTCTGAGTGCTGGGATTACGGTGCATGCCACCACGCCTGGCTTTCTTTTTTGGCAGGGGTCTGACTGTCACACAGGCTGCTCTCAAAGCCCTGAGCTCAAGGTTTGGCCCCACCTGCTACCCCCACTACACCGGCTCCTGGGTGGAGCCTGTCGCGGCGTGTGCAGGCGGGGCTGAGGTCCGGGCACAGCACTCGGGGCACCCGAGGGCTTGGGGCGGGCCCACCTCGGCGAGTGTGGCAGCCTGCACGAGGCTCAGGCACCTGAACATCTCTTGCAGCTCCACAGGACGCGCGCCTGCTGGAGGAGGACGACGTGGGGGACGCGCAACAGGGGGCCACCTTGCCCCTGCCCCCGGTGAGTGTCTGCGGACCGCGGCCCGGGCCTCAGGCGGCGCTGCCAGGCACCCTCTGGGGCCCTGTGCCTCACAGCTGTTGGTCCCTGACGTGTAACCAGCCCAGCGAATCGCGGAGCTGTTCGGAAGCAAGGGAAGGACCCGGCATGCAGGGTGTGGCGGTCCCCGGCTGTCCGGCTGTCCCTTCGTGTGAGCTGCGGGCTGGGTGCCCCACGCCCCACTGCAGGGTGCCGTCAGCCGCTGCCCCGGCGAGACGCTCCGAGCTCGGCGGCTGGGCGACACTCAGAGGCCACAGGCGCGTGCTGCCCTGGGATCAGGGCCCGGAGGTGGGGCCCGGCTGGCAGGCAGCAGCACCGCTTGGGGTTCGGGGCTTCTGGAAGGGGGGCTGTGTGCGGACCAAGGTGCCCACGGGAAACGCAGGCAGAGCCACCCCTGGGCGCTGAGCCTGGAGGTGCCTTCGTGGGCACCTGAAGGGCTGGTCATGGAGCCTGCCCGCCTGCGGGGCCTGCAGGTGTCAGGAAGACTCAGGTTTCCGATACCCAGGGCGGGTTAGGGGCCGGCCCTCAGCACGAGGGCTCTGCCTGCCTGGGTTCCCGGCTTCCGCCCATGCAGTTGGAGCTGCCGCCTGCTCATGCTGCGCGACCAGCTTTGACAGGCGTGCGGTGTGCGCCCGGCTCCAGCTGCGCAGGGGCAGAGAGCAGCTGGGCAGCATTTCAGAAACTTAGTGTTTGTGACTGGTGAAATACGCATACCCCAAAATGGCCCGTTTTACCCATTTTTAAGTATGCGGCTCAGAAGTGTCAAGTGCTGTTGGATTGTGGTGCAGTCATGTCGCCTCCTCTCTGGAGGGCAACCCCTCAGCCAGCCCGTCCTGTCCTCCGCCCCGTGCTGGGCAGGGACCAGGCCCGCTCTCTACACCCTGCGCGTTCTCCTTAAATAAACCTTTTGATTCTTAGGGAACTGTAGATAAGCATGCAATTGGAAGAAGGAATGCAGCTACCCCTCAGACTCCTTATACGCAGTGGGAAAATATGTGGCAGAGAAAGTCTGTTTTGTGCTGGCATGGGCGCACACGCCTGTGGTCCCAGCACTCTGGGAGGCTGAAGCAGGAGTATCCCAATTTGGAGCGCCGCCTGAGTAACTCAGTGACTTAGTGAGGCCCTGTCTCAGATATTGTTTTGGGGGGGGGGCGAGGGTACCGGGGATCGAACTTGGGTCCTTGCACTTGCAGGGCAGGCAGCGAAACCACTGAGCTAAATCCCTGGCCCCATCAGATACTGTTAAAAGGCTGGGGATGTGGCCAGTGTCAAACGGAAAAGAGTAAATTAAGCACCCCGATTCCCACCCTTTTATTCTTCAAAGTTACTTCAGCTTGCTTGCTTTATTAATTTATTTACTGACTTATTTTGGGGTGCCTGGAGCCAGACCTGGGCCTTGCTCATGCTGGGCTAGTGGCTCTGTACCACGGAGCTATAGCCCCAGCCTTATTTTTAATTTTGACATAAACATACTTGTTTCTAATATATAGAAGTATGCTTGGGATTTTGTTTGTTTGTCTGCTTGGTTGGTTGGTTTTTTGAGACACGGTCTCGCTGTGTAGTTCAGGCTCAGCTCGAACTCACTATGGAGCCCAGGTCAGCCTCCAGAGTTCTGGGATGACAGGCATGCGCCCCCAACCCAGCTGATTTTTGTTTGTTTTCTTTTATTTTCTTACTGAATCCACTAGTAAGTGCAAAGAGGATTTTTTTAAAAACAGGTCCTCTGAGTTTTCATTTTGTGCCGTTGGAAAGAGGCGTGTCCCCTGTAAATGACAGGGCTTCTCGTTTCGCCACTGGGCGCCTTCCTTCCCTCTTCATGTCTCCTTTCTTGGCAGAGAGAAAGGTGCAGCCCTTGCTCCGTAGAGTGGCGCTCAGCAGTGGAGGCCGTTGTCTGTGGGAGGAACATTCAGGTTCCACTGCTGAGTCCTGTGCGTGTTCCTCAGTTCTCTCATTGAGCTGGAGACGCCTCCCAATTCCCGTGTCTCTGAGAGATTTTAGCTGCATGAATGTTGGGTTTTGTTCAGGCTTTCTGCGTCAGCTCATAGGACGTGTGACTTCCTCAGCCAGTCCAGCATAGCACACTGGGTTGGATGTCGCCTGGTGTTGGATGCTGAACCCACCTTACATCCTTTCCTGACACGGCAGAAAGTGATTTCTGTGTTGCTGAGTTCCACTTAGTGTTACTTTGTTCGGGTTCTTGTGTCTGTGTTCACAGGGTTATTGTTCTGTGATTTTCTTACTTTTTCTCTCTGATTTGGGTGTCAGAGAAACACTGGCTTCATAAAGCAGCTGGGAGGTGTCCTCTCCTCTTGCTGAAAGAGGTTGTGCAGAATGGTTGCCAGCTCAGCCTGTGAACGTGGATATTGCTGGGCCAAGGGGTTTCTAACGATATATCAGATTTCCTCAACGGTGTTGAGGCTAACGTGCTATTTCCCAGTGGATGGTTTTACAAAGAATTGATTTGCTTTTTGTAAGCTGTTAAATGTGTGTGTGTAGTTATTTGTAGTAATGCTTTATGATCCTTTTTGCATCTGCAGGGTCTATCAGATTACCTCTCATTTATTCCCAATATTGGAAATTTGTGCTTTCTCACTTTTATTCTTTGTCAGTCTGGCTACAGGCTATTTTTTATTCTAGTTTCATTGATTTCTACTCTTTCTCTATTGTCTTCATTCTGCATGCTTTGGGTTAATTGTACTCTTCTTTTTTTAAGGCTTTTGAGTTGGAAGTGTATTGATTTGAGTCTTCTCCCTTCCCTGAAGTGAGTATTTCAGGGCTGCAAATTTCCCTCTCAGGACTGCTTTAGCTATGTGTTTTTATTTTCGTTCATTTCGTCATTTCCTAATTTCCTGTAAGTCTTCTCTTTGAGGGATGACGTAGAGCCATGTTGCCGGATTTGCAAGGAAGTGGTGCTTCCCGTCGTGTTTCGTTGGAGTTCAGCTCTCAGCCTGTGAGCGCTGTGCCCCTTCCTCTGGGCTGAGGCAAGCCGCCTGTCTGCCTGCTGCGTGTCCTGTCGGCGTGCGGGCCGAGGGCCGGGCCCTGTGGTGTCGCCCAGTTCCCCGTCCTGGCTGGTTTTCTGTCTGTTGGAGAGCGCGGAGTCCAGCCGGGTTCAGGAGTTGGTGCATCCATTCCTTTTCAGTCTTGCCACTTTTTGCCACACATAGTGCGAAGCCCCGTCGGCTGCGTGACACTCCGACACCACCCTCGTGGACAGACCCCTTCATGATGAGAGAGCCCGTTTCTGGTGAAGTACTGGCTCCCACGCTGGCCTGATATTCATGTAGCTTCTTTTAAGAATTTCACAGTGTGTTCAGCCACTGCATCGTATTTGAGTGAGGTTTTTTGGCAGCATGTGCTTGCATTGTGAGCTTAGGTTGCTGGGGGCTCGCTTTGTTTGTGATGGTGGGGACTGAACCCAGCGCAAGTATTCTCCATAGCCCTTTTTCTTTTTTGCTTTTAATTTTGACACAGGGTCTCGCTGAGTTGCCAGGCTGCCTCAAACTTGTGACCCCCCTGCCTCGCCTTCCTGAGCAGCCAGAGTTAGTGTTACCCTGTATGGCTCCAGCCATTCCCTTAGCTGTTCTCTCTGCCAGGGACAGATGGGCTGGCTTCTCTTCCTCTGAGAAGCTCTGACTTCCCCGCTTCCTGAAGGACAGGTTCAGCAGACTCAGGACCCAAGCTGACAGTTCTCTGCAGCTAAGAAACATGCTCTTGTGCTATTTATTTATTCCTTCCTTCCTTCCTTCCTTCCTTCCTTCGTTTGTTTCTTTGTTTTTGGAGACAGGGTCTTGCTATGGAGCCCAGGCTGGCCTTGAACTCACTGTGGAGCCCAAGCTGGTCTCAAACTCACATTGGTCCTCCTCCCTCAGCTTCCCAACTGCAGTACTGGGGTTATTGGCGTGCACCAGCACACCTGGCTCTCATGCCGTTTCTGTCTGGCCTCCGTGGCTTCTGGTGAGAGCTCTGCCGTCCTTTCCCTGTGTCCTCCTTAGGGAAGGGGTGGTTTTCCTGTGGCTGCTTTTCAGACGTTCTTCTTTGCCTTCAGTTTCAGGCGGTGAGTCTGCTAGGTCCTCGTGTGGATTCCTTCACATTAGCCTGTGGGGAGGCCGCTCTCTGGCTTCGCGTCTCTCTCCCGGTTTTGCTGAGGCCTGGGCTGTCCTGCTTCTCGGCCCTGTGCTGGGTGGGGGCCTAGTTGGGCCTCTGTTTCCTCCTGGGCCGGCCAAGGCTGCGTGTGTCTTGGCCTCTGACTGTCACCCATGCCCTGGTTGTTTGAGCTCACCTTCCGCTCTCCCTGCCGCCCTGAAGCACTTCCTGGTCCCTCCACGTCCATGCCCAGCCCCTGGCCCACGCAGCCTTGCTGTCTGTCTCTCCATCTGAGATCTGTTCTGATTCTTGATGCAGTGCTGTTTTAACTCAGCAGACCATGGGTGGCGTGAAACCTTGGTCAGCTGCCATGGTTTGTCCTGCCCCAGGAAGTGCACCCTGCTCACTGTGTCCACCAGGAGCAGCCAGCCCTGTGGGCCGTGTCAGCATTGAGCTCTGCCTCTGTGCGGACCTGGTGCAGCAGGGTGATGGGGCCGGGGTGGCAGTCACCGTGGTCCTGCTGGCAGCCCCGAGCTGTGCCCAACAGAGTTGCCACTTTGGGGCTCCATAGCTCTCTATTTCCTGGGTGCCCATCAGCGCCTCTGGTCTGCTGCGTCCTGCAGCGTCAGCCCTGGGGCCAGGACGAAGAGCAGGGGCCACCACGGCAGCAAGAGCAACCGAGAGGCCCTGTCCTGCAGAGCTAGGCAGGCAGGAGGCGTCCCCAGCCTCGCTCCCAGGTGGCTTGCGCCGGACAGTAAGCTCTGGCCACCTGGCGTGGGTCCACGCTTGCGAGGGCTTGTGAAGCTGGGAGGACAGACTTTGGGCTCCTGGCAGGGACGCAACAGGGTGACCACGCCAGCTGAGCCCTAACAATCCCAGGGGCCGCTGTGGGTGATGTGGACACCCGGAGAGCACTCTGCCTGCCAGCCCGACACACAGGTCCCGGAGTCTGCATGGAGCCCAGGCCCCGGCCCCAGCCAGCCGAGCGCCCCCTTGTCCTGTGCTTGCAGACCCGAGCGTCCCCGTTCAAGGACATGATCCTGTGCTTCTCTGAGGAGGACTGGTCCCTGCTTGACCCCGCGCAGACAGGCTTCTATGGAGAGTTCATCATCGGCGAGGACTGCGGAGTCACGGTGCCCCCGGGTGAGGCTCCGCTGCTGCCCGCCCGCCCAGAGAGCAGGCTCTGAGCCCCCCGGCCTGCGGTCTCCCCCGGGGGTGGCGGGTGCGTCCCCCAGCCCCGTGTGCCACTCTGTCGGCGTCTCCGTGCTCTCTTCATGACTGCTCAGCCCGGCCGGGCACAGAAGGGGACGCCCCACCCTCCAGCCACGCCCCTGGCTTGTCCCTGTGCTTGCTGTCCCTGTCCGTGGAGCCCATGGCTGACCAGGCATGTCCACCCTTCCCTGCAGATGACCCTGAGGGCCAGCCGGACCTCTCGCCAGCAGAGGACAGCGAGCCCCGGGTCCCAGAGCTGCCAGAGCTGCAGGGCAGGGAGGCACCCCAGGCCGCCTACTCTGGTGAGTGGGGACCCGCGGGGGGGCACCCTGCCCTCGCGTCCCAGACCTCATGGCTCACCTGTCCAAGAGCAGCTTGCTCCCCTGGCGGGACTCACACTGCAGGCCTTTCCCTGTCCCGCAGCCGAGGCCCCAAGCCCTGGACCAGCCCAGGGCCGGGTCTCCTCTGGCCGCGCGGCCCCACCCCGCCCTAGCACGCAGTCCTGGGTTGTGGCCCCCATGTGTGACGATGCTGTCCCCCTCTTCTCGGGAAGACGTCCCTGGACTGCAGCCGTTCCCGATGGAGGAGAGGAGCAGGTGGGAGGAGCTGCAGGTACCCGAGTTCCAGGCCTGCCAGGTGCCCGCGCTTGCTCAGAGCACCTGCCCAGGTGAGGGTGCCCGCCCGGGGTGCAAGGACACAGGACGCCGTGTGCGCTGTCACGGACGGGCGTGCTGAGCACTACACTCGTGTGCGTGTGCCCGTGAGCTGTGTGTGTCCACGGGGCCGATCGATCTGTCACCGCCCCATGCTGTCCCCTTCCTGCCCGCCCTAGATGGGCTGTGGGGACAGACGCTGCGGCAGCCCTGCCAGCTGGGCCGAGTGAGTGCAGGCCAGGCCACCCGCGGGGCGGGCAGCCGCCATGGTGTGGCCTCGGTCCCATGATGAAAGTCACCCCTGCAGGGCAGACCAAGGCCTCGCAGACCCGTGCCCCTGGGTTCGGGTGCTCTCAGTAGCAAACCCAGCCTCCCGGAGCTGCAGCCCACAGGTGTCCCGCAGCCGGGAGGCAGCAGGCAGGTGGGCCCTGTGCAGGGTGGCCAGGTCCTCGGCACACAGCCCTGCTCCTGGCTGGGAGTGGTGCACTGAGCAGGCGCCTCCCTGCCCCCATGGTGCCCCTTGCTGCCTGCCTGCCGTGCCCGCCTGCCTGCCGTGCCCGAGCGAGGGGCAGCATTTCTCGTTTCCCCTGAGTCGTGTCATCTGGCCGCTGTCCACCTTGGCACTCGCACTGCCGAGGGCTCAGTCCCAGCCAGTTTCTGTTGTTACCACACTGCACTGGGTGCTGTGTGAGACGCTGGTTTGGCTCGCGGTTCCGGTTCCAGTCAGGCAGTCGTCGAAAGGCCCGGGCAGTGCAGGGAGAGACAGGAGAGGCCTAGCAGGGCGCTCCCATTGCAGAGCCCGCCTGGTGCCACGCGAGGTGGCACCGTCACCCCCTGGCACTCTCCACGTCCCTGCGCCGCCCCTCCCGAGACAGCGGAGGTCCGGAGAGCCAGAGCCTCAGTCCCCGAGAGCAGCTAGTTTGCCTTCTCCATGCCCAGCAGCCGTGAGGACAGACAAGCGCCGGCCCAGGGGCAGAGCTCCACGTGGCGAGTCCGTCGCTGACGAGGCCCATGCTGCGTCCTGGGCCGAGGGTGCTGCGTGGCCGGGCTCCCCCACGTGGCCAGGGCTGTGTCCCCAGGAGGCGAGGCGGGTGCCGGGCCCTGCAGAGCTGGTGCTGAGAGCAGACGCAGGTCGCGGGCGGACGGAGGCTGCTTCCTGCCCTGTCTGGCGGTGGGAACTCTCCTGCCACCGCTGCCTGCCAGCAGGCGACACTGCCACAGGCGGGCCCAGCCTGGCCCTGCCCCTGCAGCCGGAGCCCACCCCAGGGCTTTCCTCACTGCCGCGGGAGACTGAGCGCGCCGGGCTCTCCGTGCCGCTCCTTTTGGGTGCCGGCTGCGCCCTCAGCTTTCCCTTCCCCAGCTCGCTGGAAGCAGCAGGAAGGAGCCAGGCGGCCCTCCACGCAGCATGGGGGTCGCTGACCCCGAGGGCCCTGCTCGCCCAGGGTCTCGCTCGCCTCAGACCCTGCCCCGGGAACGGCAGCCGCCTGGCTCTGCAGCGAGCTGCTCCGTCCCTCGGGACCTCGCCAGAGGCCGCCCCGCCCGGCTGGCCAGCTGTGCCCCTAGCCAGCTCCGGGCCGCACCCCGTGTCGGTTCAGCGGAGCCTCATGGCCCGGCCCACGAGGAATGGTCTCCGCCAGCGGACTGCCGTGGGCCGGGTCACTGAGCAGAGGCAAGTGCTCAGCGCTGGAGGCCACACGTCCAAGATGGCGGCGTCGGCGGGGCAGCTTCGCCAGGCCTGCCCTGGTGGCTCCAGAGGTCACTGTGCTGTGTCCCCACGGTCCTTCCTGTCCCTAGGAGGACACGGTGACACCCCGTGCCCCTGCGCAGACCCTTTCAGATGCCTGCCGTATGCTCGTGCTCTGAAGCACCGGGTCAGGACGGAGCCCGCACGCCTTGGCCCGCACTGTCCGCTGGACCAGCGAGAACCAGGGCTGCTGCAGCACCCACTCTAGCGACAGCCGAGCAGCTGCCGCTCCCGGGCTGCTTGTCTGTCACCTGTTGTGCCGTGGGCCCCAAACCGCCTCCCCTGTGGGAGTCACCTGTCCCCTGCCCCGCAGGGGCGCAGCCCTGCGGCCGGAGCAGGGGACAGCGCGCCGCGTGCCCGCCGGTCCCCCTGCCTGCCGCACGCCCTCCTGAGGACCTCAGCGCGCCCCCGCCTGCCTCGCCAGTGCAGGCCCAGTGTCCCGGGCTTTTCAGCCGCCCCGCGTCCTGCCGAGTCCGGGGTTAGGTCCGGGACGCCGCCCTCGCCTCTTGTGTGGTGACCCTGGGGGTCGCTGGGCGCCATCACAGAGCCCGCGCCTGGGCCCGGCCTGGTCAGCTTGGCGCGTGAGGCCAGGAGCATCCGGCCTGTCGGTCTGAACCCGCCTTGCTGCCCTCTGCCCCTGGGCTCCCTTCTCCCTGCCCTGGGCTTCTCCTCGGCCACGGGAGGCGGGGCTTGCAGCGGGGAGGGAGGAGGCGCCCTGACGCACGCACTTGCGCTCCGCAGCCGCGCCCAGCCCCGCAGCCCCGGAGGCCGGCCTGGAGGAGGAGGTGACCATCGAGATTGTGCTGTCCGGCTCCGGCGACGAGGACGAGCGCGGCGCAGGGGCGCGCGGGTCCCAGGCCAAGGCCTATGTGTGCCCGCGCTGCGGCAAGGCCTTCCGCTGGCGGGTCAACTTCGTGCGCCACCTGCGCAGCAGCGACGGCGACGGCGCGGCCGGGCACCGCGGGACGCACGAGGTCCCCCGGCCGCACCGCTGCGGGGCCTGCGGGCGCAGCTTCAGGCTGGCGGCCCACCTGCTGGCGCACCGCCGCGCGCACCTGCGGCCGGGGGACAGGGACGCCAAGGACCCCTCGGACGCCAAGGACAGCGGGGGCCGGGACAGGCCAGGCGCGCGCCGCCGCGACCCCCCGCAGGACCGCGCACTGCGCTGCCGCTACTGCGCCAAGAGCTTCGGTCAGAACTGTGGGCTACTGCGGCACGAGCGCCTGCACATGAAGCGCCGCTCCAAGCAGGCGCTCAATTCCTACTGAGCGCGGCCGGCCGCCCTGCCAAGCCGAGCCACGAACCGCGCAGCGTCGGGGCCACCCACTCCGGCGGCGGCCCTGAGCTTCACGGGCCCGCCCAGGGCGCCCCAGGCCCCGCGAGAGGAGGGCGGACTCCGTGGCCGGGGTCGCCGGCTGGCCCTCTGCTTGCACCCTGACTGCCAGACCTGGAGGGCCCCGGCGCGGCAGGGCCATCGAGTCCTGTCCCCGGGGCAGCCCGCAGCCTCCAGTCATCAGCAGGCCAGCGCCAAAGTGGTGCCACAGTGGCTCCTCGGTGTGGATAAAAGACAGCTCAGCTGTGGTTTGGTTTTCTTTGGTTTTTGTTTTTCGCAGCCCTGGGGATTGAACCGGGGCTTTCTCACTGCTACATCCACAGCACCACCAGCCCGGGTTTTTTGTTTTTTAATTTTGAAACAAAGCCTCACTGAGTTGTCCAGGCTGGGCTCGAACGGGATCCTCCTGCCTCAGCCCCCTAGAGTGGTGGGATGACAGGCATGCACTACCACACCCAGCGGAAGCCCACGTTTTAAGCTCTTGCACTTGCACGCCTGGCCCAGATCATCTGACCTGGAGGGCGTTGTTAAATGTGGGCGGGGCGGCAGCCAACGCGTCATCAGAGGGGCACTTTTGGTCCCCACTCTGGGAACCTGGAGCTCAGCCAGAAGGGTCCCCGTGTCTGGTGTGTCCCACTCTGGTGTCAGCGTCCGGTGCCAGCGTGTGTCCCCTAGGGCTGGTGCAGCTCCGCCACAGAGGCCTCCCCGGGCCGTCCAGGTGTGAGGGAGGCGTGGGTGCTGTCCCCGGCAGGAGTGCCTGTGTGTGGCAGCGACACCAGCCTTCCCCTCCGTGCCTGCCGTTCTCCAGCTCCCTCGCGTAAGGACACCTGTCCTGGGCTCCCCCACGTGCCCGGACGACCTTGGGATCTGTAATAACCTTGTCCAAGTCAAGCCACGTTCCGAGCTTCCAGAGGTGTCGAGGGGACACAGCACCTCCACCCAAGGCAGCCACAGCCTGGTGGTGACACCTGACCCAGTCCTGGGACTCTGCACCCTCCGTCGCGTCCCTGGGTGGACAGTGCGCCTGCATCAGGGGCTCTTGAGCACCCGTGTGGTTTTCACATTAAGGATCCTCTACTCCTACCCAATAAAGGCGCTTTTTGTTTTGTTTTTGTGTCTGGGTACCAGAGACTGAACCTAGGGCCTTCACAATGAGCCACGTTCCGGCCTCTTTTTGCTTTTTGAGACAGCCTTGCTAAATTGTCCAGGTGGGGCTGGAACTTGCAATCCTCCTGCCTCAGCCTTCTAGTGTATTGGGATTTTTCTTTGTAATGCAGTGTTAAAGATGCTTCTGCTTCAACTGGTGTACAAATGCCAACTTTTCACAAAACATTTCCCAGAGGAAGTTACATTGCCCAACTCACTTTATGAGGTCAGTATTATCCTTATCCTAAGATCTAACAAAAGTACCACAGTAACAAATGACAGCAACACTGCCGTGCACAAAAACAAGCAAGACAGCCTGCACCAAATACTAGCTAGCAAACAATCTGTGCAGATGGGATTTACCCTGCTTAGTGGGATAGTGGGCTGTAACGAAAAATGCAGAGCAGGCTTGGAGAATGTCAGCCACCTGTTGCGCTGAGCGCATAATCTAAGCAGGGTTCCTATTTTATGCAGCTCTCTGTTGTCAGTCTTCCGCTGTCTCATCGTGGGGTCGTTCCCCATTTTCTGTTATACACTCATTTTGGCGGGGGGTGGCTTGTGGGCTGAGCCAGACTGACTGAGACAAGTGCACAGGAGAGGTATGTATGGAAGCTGCCGCTGGAGTAATGGGCGGCCATACACGCCCTAAAGTGAGTGTCAGGTTCTAGCTCACAACCTGCCACCAGACACAACCCACTGGGCACCGGAAGGCCTGCACCGAGCTGCCATCCACTGGCGGGGTTCTGACCTGAGTCTCGGCCCCGGAACTTCTCTGACCAGGGCTGTTCGGGGTTTTAGACGCTGCCCACGCCAGTGGCGCCGCCTAGGCTCCTCGGGTCACCTGGCAGCAGGCTCCCTGAAGGAGCGCAGCCCGGGTCCCTGGCATGCGCCTGCCCAGCAGGGCACGTGCCCAAGACCTGACACCTCTGCTGGTCTGGCCAGCGGTGGGCTCAGGTGGTGACGGGAGGTGGGGAGCGGCTGTAAACACGGATGGATGAAGCCTCCTTTGCCCCCTGTGCACCCCACATCTTAACAGCCACAGTGGGACTGGTGGTCCAGGGGTGGGAAGCTCTTTACTCATGAGTAAACTACTCATGAGTTTGTTTTGGGTGGTATTTGGGACTGAATGCAGAGCCTTCACACTGAGCTACATCCCCCAATTTTTTTGATAGGATCTCACTAAATTGCTAAGTTTCCCAAGCTGGGCTTGAACTTGAAATCCTCCTGCCTCAGCCTCCCTGAGTGCTGGACTACAGGCGTGCGCCACCACGGCCAGAGAGCGAGCAGCGGTGCCAGTTCTAAGAAACCCCCGGCACAACTTGTCTAGTTCTCACCCTAAACTACGGAAGGAGAGGCAAAGTCTGGGTCTAACGACAAAAGAAAAACCAACCAACAAAAGACTAGGCAGATGGTTTGGCAGAGGGTCCGGGCAAATAATTTTCAGAGACTGGCATGTAAATTGGCCCCAGGAGTGTGGAGTGTACGAACCCTGTTAGTCCCTGGCGTTTTAGTCCAGAATTTACCCCCGTGGTTTATCCCACTAAGACGGCTTCGGGCCACTGAAGATTCCAAATTATGCTAGTGGATGACAATGAACACCTTTTTAATATATCATTACCATTGATTCCCTATTAATACATCTGCAACAAGGGACTTTTCATGCTTTTAATGTACTGCAACACACGGATCGTATAACCGCAAAACTGTCTAGTCAAACTAAAAAATTACAGCACTGCTCTCCCACATTCGAATTTCCCCACTACTCCGAGGAGGACCGGGCCGTCAAACCAGGATTTGGAGAAAAAGCCAACGCGCGAGGCGGAGGAACGGGTGCGCAGTGCCCTCTAACGAGCGGGCCACGCACGCAGCCGGACCGCGTCCCGGGTCACGCGGGACGCGAGCCTTGTGGGAAATGTAGTCTCCTCACGACGTCACCCGCGGAGACTGGGCTTCTGCGCATGCGTCGCCTTCCTCCAACTGAGTTACAGGAAAGTGGCGCTCTGCCCGCTGTTTCGCGAGCTCTGGGTCGTACTCTGCCCGGAGGTTGGAAACGGGTGAAAGGAGGCGACCTGGGGCAAGGCGGGTAGGAGCAGACATCGCGGAGGCAGGCGCGCAGTGCCTGGCACTTGGTCGGCGCGGAGGGCGTGCGGGAGCGGCGCTTTCCCGGGAGCGGCGCGCGGCCGCAGGGCCTGATGGGTGCCTCCGTGTACGGGAGTCGGTTTGCGAGCTTTGCGGGCGGGTCCCTTCGGGTGTCAGTGGCAGGACAGGAAGTCCCCTGGTCCTTATCTCTGACATTCAGCGTCCCACAGCGTGAGCGGCACTCCTGACTCCTGAAGAAATAACGTGTGTGCACACCCAGTCTTCCTGTGTGGCAGTTGTACTGACTGGATTTCTGGGCGTCACTTCCGCACGTAGGGCTTCTCTGCCTCCTTTGCATAGTCCGCCTGCCAACGCCATTTGAGTTTATTGGGGTTTTTACGAGAAATGGTCCCAGAGAAAGTGAGTTCTGAAAGGGGCTCGGTGCACTAGAAGGTGGCCCCTTTGTCTTTCCAGTAAAGTAGTTGCAGCGTTTGAGGGGAAGCTCCCTGCGAATAGAAATCCGACCTGAAGGAACTCCCGTCTGGCCGGAATTCTGTCACTAGTCCTTGGGAACAGAAGCATCAGCATTCTTGGAAGGGAAGGTCCCAGCTCTGCATGGCCCTAGGATGATTGCGCGGGATGTGCTCGGTAACCCTTGACTCAGTAGCCATCACGCACTGGGTGGTGCTGGGAGGTGTGCACCAGTTTTGAGAAAAGCGAGGGGAGGTGGGCCGAGAGGGGGAGGCAGTGTCCCTTAATGGACAGGGCTTGAAAGTTGGCCCCGGGTGGAGAAGAAACCTGTCTTCCTGGAGAGATCTTCAATCCAGTGTCTTAGCTGCCTCAGCTGTCACCAGATTTGTCATCTACAGTCTACACTCGTGCTATGCTCCCTCTGCCCTGATAGTTCTTCCCGGCTCTTGGGGGAAGGATTTGCCAGAAAAAAAATTAAAAATCGGATCCAAGGAGCCATGACTTGCCCAGGCTCACAAGATTTGTAGACGCTGATCATCCTGACTTTGTGGTTAATAGTATTCATTTTGCCACTTAAGTCAAAATAAATGTTTATTTTTGAAGTTATTGTTGTAACACAGAAGTCCACTTAGAACAGACATTGCTTTAAAATACGTAGCCTTCAATAGCCCTGTCATTTTTTTAATCCCCCAAACTACCTGTGGTTTATGGGACTTCACAAGGTAAATGATGCGTGTTTCCTACCTAATGTCAGTGATCCATTTAGTTTGTTTGTTTTTGAGACAGGGTCTTTCTGTGCAGTTCAGGCTGCCCTTGAACTGTGTAACCTTGGCTCACCTTGAACTGGAGGCGATCTGCCTGCCCCAGCCTCCTGAGAGCTGGGATTACAGGTATCATGCACCACGTGCAGCAGTAATTTGTTGTTGGTAATGATAAATTTTGCAGGAAAGTTATAAGGAACTATTCTGCATTACTCTAAATGGGAAAATTAGAATGCATCACACTTCTCCAAACCAGTTTTTAAAAATGTAAATAAAATACAGTACAGTGCCCACTTACAAATAACAGACCCTTTATGACTTATACTTAAAAAGATTTTGTATCATGTTAAAAACCCTTAAAACATTGTTTACTAATGTGCAGACAATTGCCTTGGGGGTTTACATGGCCTCAATTAGTGCCAGAAACCTCACTGAAACTATTCAGTTGCCATTCATTGTGATTTTCCAAATCCACGTGTTTGTGAAGTTCTGTTGATTGTATTTGACATGACATTGAACACTTTCTCCCCCACATGATTTTGTTAAAAACATTGAGTTTTAGAGGCTTAGATGTATCAGCATTTGCTATATAAGGAGCCAATAAAAACTTAATAGCTCCACAAAATCAACTTCTTAATTTTTTTCTTGACATTCTGTGGATGTGCATTTGGGTTGGGCTCTGCTGGGAAGTTCTTATGCTGGGGTTGCTTGGATCACAGATAAGGCTCTGTTCATCTACTGAGGCTGGTGGTACAGAGTCTGGCAATTCATGCTGACTCTTGTCCTCGTCAGATTAGCCCCAGGCCTCTTCACAATGTGCCTGTGTGTCCAAGTGCGCAAGCAACAGCTGGGAAGGACTTTCTGAACCTACCTATGCATTGTACTTACTGATGTCCCGATGGCCAGAGAATTCAGAGAAAAAGCCCAGATCATCATTGGAACATGGTATACATGGGCTTAGATGCAAGGAGACTTGCCTGAGGGTATCATTCCTGAAAGAGTATGCCACAAGACATTGTGTGTGTGTGTGTGTGTGTGTGTATATATATATATATATATATATATATATTTTCCCCTCCTATATAATTGTGAGCAAAAACTGTTGGGTTGCAAGAGGTATACTGTCTGCAACGTTCAGGTAATATAAAATCATGGAGTGTTGGATGGAAACACTTACCTGGAGTCCTTTGTGGAACCCTCATAGTAATAGGGAAGTAGTTAATTAGGCCCAAGTATATTTCTATATAGTAATTTTACTGACAACATGTTTCCTTCTTTGGGTTTTATACTTTCAGGTAATATAATTTTGGGAAGTCAGTGGCTAGTGTGTGGTTTTATTAACCCAAAAACATTGTATGTTTAATCATTGCAAAGTACTGTGCTTGCGGATGTGTTTTGGGTATTATCTTTGCCGCCTCTTGTTGAGCTGTAAACTGCTGTTGTCCTGTAGTGCGGCCGTTTCCAGCTGATGCTTGGTGAGCTTACAGAGGGAGCCAGGACCGAGCCCCACGCAGTTGTGACTGCTGCACTCGCCTTTCCCCTCTGTGTTCCCACAAGCACAAAACACGGGTCAGTCTCTGGTGAGCTCTTTCTCATTCCTCACTGAGGTTTTTGCTGTTTTTATTAGCCCACATTTGTAGGCCACCGTGTTTG